ATTCAAGTTGCTCACTTGCGACTTGCGAACGGAAGCAAAAGTGGTACCGGTCCGGGTAACAAAGAGGGCCGGGGGGCAGACAGACAGGCGAGGGTGTCGCCTGTCACTCACTTGAGGGAAGATCTCGCTGCTGCGTCGCCGTGAACAGAGTCTAATTTCTCATCCATCCAGTTAAGCGAAATAAGGAAACGGACAAACCTGCTTCACGGTGGCGTGGATCGACCGAGGCTCGGACCGACGGATGGGTTAAGCCACAGACGACGAGCAGACGCCGGGCGACGGCTCCTTCCGAAGTTTCGTCGGAGAAAACTCGGTTGGGGGAAATCGATCTCCTCAGTCAGGTGGGGAACATGAGTTCGGCTCTGCGTACCATCGCGCCCGAAGAGCTCCCAGGGACATAATCGAGCGACTTCTCTCGGACAGTGCTCTTCCGTGCCGGAGACTCTCTACCCGGAAAGCTCGTCTACGCCTCCGGGACGATTCGGGAGGCGACATGCTGAAAAATTAGCATGACCCGCCCCGATGGAATCGCGCCGCAACGCCCCTGCTCGCAGCGGATGATCTGCGATGCTCGAGCATTCCTCGCGTCCACCTGAGTACTCAATCTTCGGAGGCGACAGTTTGCGCGAGGTCCGTGAGGACACAAGCCGCACTTCGTCCCTTCTGTTGCTTGACGTTCGCACGACACCGAATGCCCGAATGAAATTTCCTTTTGACTCGGAGACCTGTGCGAGGGGTGCGTGTCTCAGACGGCAGCGGTACTCGCGCGTGGAAGTTGAAAGACTCACGTGCATATTATCATCCCACGGACCGTGTCCTTTCCGCGTGTCAGGAAAGCGTCGACACGGAGGAACACGGTGGACGAGGTTCATAAAGTTTATATTCTGAGCGTTGTTCGTGAGCTTGAGAATAGGAGAGGGAATAATTTTTATGACGTTTATGCTAGAAGCGGTCGCGACAGCGAGTCGAGATGCCTTAGTGCCCTTCAGGATAGACCCTTATCGTCTCATACTGAAATGGAACGAATGGAGGAGACCCAAAAAGTCCAGCAAGATTCGCAATCGCAGAACTTGAAATAGAGCAGGAGCCAAGAGCCAACAAGCCGGCTTTCGCCTCAGTGCAAGACGTTGATTTATCCCGCTTTATGTATATGATGATGATGATGCTGTCATTGTCTACCATGGCGACCTACATTCAAGCGCCTCCGCTCCCAAACAGTTCTGCGAATATACGGCGGCCGCGCCGTTTAGTATATTCATAGAGTGTGTAGGGACCGAAAAGAAATGCATCATCCCCAAATCAAGACAGAACACCAGAAAGGAAGTCATGCTGATGTGTCTACGACCATAGTGAGCTCACCAACAAACAGCCTGCTCGCTGACATACATAGCTCCCGTTGTTCTCTCCAGCACTTGACGGTGCTCAGAAATCTGAGCACCGTCATCGAACTCACCGAGTTCAAACCGAGGTTACAGTTGCACTGTCCCGATAATTTTGTGGAGAGGCACGATACTCCCGAAGAGTCCCACATGGGCGTCAGATTACGGGATGAGGGATGCAGGATCACGGGCCGACCTTGTTCACTCCGGATGCCGCTACTCTGATACCAGAGTCACAGGAGCATCTTCGAACCCTCCGCGAGTTATTCTGCTCGCGCCTGAGTCATTCCCTCGAAACTTGTGGCGCAATCTACTGTCCAGGATCTCTTTGTATTCGATCCACGGATTAGATCAGCACCATCGATAGTCCTCGATCACGCAATTTACCCGATGGGAACGAAATCTTGCGAAGCGATGTCACTCAGCCTAGAACATTGGACGAGGGCGAACTCTTCCGCAACTGAAAGGGATGCTCGCAATAGGACTGACTGGAGTGAGTAATGGCAAATTATTCGCCGACGCACGTATGAGCCGGTGGGCCGGGGTTTGTTAGCTGTTTAGCTAGCCGATACGCCAGCTGTCTCCACGCGAACAGCAGGCGGGCATCGAACCTTTTGACGTCGCTATACATACTCATGTAAGAAATAACATTTTGCCTGCCATAACATGGTCCAAACATTGTAGCTCCGATTGCACATTTCTTGTTGGGAGTCACGGATTGGCATGCCTCTATATGAGAGATGATCCCTAGCGATAATTGAGGCTACGAGAAGTGAATGAAGTCAAACTCCGGAGTTGCTTGTTGCACAACCACCATACTGCAGTTGATATGCACATATATGTATGTGCGTAAATACATAGGGATAAGCGCTCGGAGCGATTGCGTTCCGATCAGAGAGACGTTTCCGAGTCGCACCAAACGATGCCTGAGCTCTACGTGGATTGGTCTTCGGCCTGTTCTGCTATCTCCGTCGTGAACGATATGTTTACGAGCGCTTCGTTTCCGGTCGTCTGGCGTTTTATGAATCGAGACAAGCAAGGCCATCCCCTGATTTCTCCATGTGACCTCGGGAACACTTGACCCTCAGAGAAACGAGTGTTCCTAACCCGAATGAGTGGCTATTTGTCAGAATCAGACAAATGTATCGCAGGATTGCTCGCAGCTGATCCGGACTCGGGTTCGGAAGAATTATTCCTTATTTATAACGATCGCACTTGAGCGGATTGTGACGCTCACGTGATTTAAACCGATTTCAATGCTTCGAGATAGAATCTGAGAATACGGCGACCCCATCATGCAGGTTGGGAGTTCGGAGCTACTGTGTCGACTGGTGGCAGACGCATTTCCGTGACCGCAGCTCGATACAGAAGTGAATGAGACTTTGACTCGAGAGCTCTGAGGAACCTCTTTCAGTCCGTAGGGCTTTTGTTGAACGCGAGAAACTAACGGATGTGGGAACACGCTTCCAGCGCCGCGGATTGATGCATTTCGGAGCTTTGGAATAACTTTGATTCATTCGTGGTCATGAAATATGAGCAGGGCATCGTGTTCATTCGATGGATAGAGTTACACTCCCGTTATTCATCGTTAGAGTCTGGAGTTACGTGAACAAGGAGATGGAAAAGCACAGATGGGGAGAAAACAAAGACGACGGAGGGGAAAAAGCCTGTCCTCCCCAAGCAAGTGTGGAGACCCTTGCGAAAGCGGCATTGTATCGCTCAGGGCGTTTTTTTCCCGACTGAGTGAGTGAGCAAACCGCTGAGACCGCTTGCTTCGTTCTTATTCGACCTCATCTGCTCGCAGGCTCCCTCTCCAGTGTTCGACATGCTTCCATGGGAGGAGCGAGGACCGCGAGCAGCGAAGGGGATGAGTGGGTCAAGAGGAATAAGAATGAAGAAGAACGCTACTGTCGTTTTCTGTCACCCTTGCTGCTGCTGCTGCATCCGAGGCTGTCCTGGCTTTCTTGGACAGATTTATGGAGGGCACGCAGCGAATGAAGTCCTGCGACGAGTGGAGACATAAGAGGAATGAGCGGCAGAGAGCGTCAGAAACTTCACTACATACGACTTAGGAGCTTCCCCAGCGTGACAGTGACTCATCAGCGCCCCACACCCTCACCTTCCCTCAGCCGGCCTCATGTAATAATTCCAGGCTCCGTCCCCTTCCAACCTTAAACGGACTCCCTGGCGGGAATTCGCCCCATACCGTCCGGGGACATGGGATCCCAAGAACGACTTCAGGGCGGGGACGGTCTCGGGAAAGAAAAACCTCCGATCCGATAGACGTTCGCTGATGTTGCTAATAGCAGCTTGATGGCTCTAACAGTTTGGCAGAGGCAGCCGCAGCAGCAGCAGCTTAGTTGACTGGGAGCAAACTGCGAAGCGAAATAAGAAAGGGTCCTTTTTTATGCCTGTGCCCGAGCCGAGAGGTCGATTGTCCCGACCATTGCTCCGATCGCTCGTGATGGCGACGGAGGACGAGTCAAAAGATCGAGACCCCGCTGAGCAATAGAAAAGCTAAAACAGATTAGTGGTCGTCAGCCTGAGCTGGGGAAAGTTCTGCAGCGGCAGAATTACCACGGAGCTTCGCTCGTCATCGAACGAGCCGGTAGCGGCTCTACGGGGCGAGTAGTCGCCGCTCCGAGGGGACAGTGAAACAAACGACAGGCTGCTTGACATGTTCGAAGGTTTCTCTGTCGTCTCTGTCGACTCACCATGAACGAAACGGTGGCGTGAATTCGCTCAAGCAGACCAATAAAGCCGAGTTGTTTACGCGAGAAAGTCCCAAGTAAACGAATTCCTGCCAAGGACCGCAAAAAGTCTCTCGTTCGGCAAAAACGCCGAGTGACTTTCAGTAGTTACGACGGGCTCGCCTTTTTGCGGGACAAAAACACCAGCTACGCGTTAATCTGGAACACGCGAGTCCCGCTGATATTTGCGAGCTGGCCGCGACCTAGAATCCTCGCCTCTCCGGGACGGCGTGTTATTCTTTTTGCTCCCTTAAGTTTCTTCCGCTTGAAGCTCCGATTATCGATCAAAATTGTTGGCCTGGCTCTAGGAAAAAGCTCTTCTTCTCCTGCATTGATCTGTTTATTAGTCTGCGCCAATAACAATTTTCCGAAACAAGAACGGGGTAAACACGGCGCCGACCCGAGATCGGTCGATATCGAGACGATCAAGTCGAGTGGCCCAAGTACCATTCCATATAGTGTGAGTCCGTTTCCACAACCGGAAATCATCAAGTGCGATATCACAGAGCGGAATACTTCCAGCGCTAGGTGAAACCCTCGAGCGGGATAACAAAGGGACCGAACGGCATCTCTTCGAGACGGTGCCGGTGATTCGCCGAAACGTTTCGGTGTTTGACTGAACTTCGGACATTCGGGAGAGATCGGCGAACCACAAGCCTCCTTCTCATTGTTGGGTGAAAATGATGTGAAAAATGATAAGACTCTCAAAGCAATCTCAATGCATAGAGGTGCGACCTGGGGGTAAGCATCGATCCCAACCTCCGACATTTGGTCTGTCGGCCGCATCTCATGTTTGTCGAGCAGGAAAAAAGCTCTTTCCGCTGACCGAGTGCCCTCCACTCCTCCCGTCCACTTTGCACGGAGCTCGAAGCTACTCGTCGAGAATGAACTGCGTTTTGGCGAAGTTCAGAAATATCTGCTCGAGGGTGGTATCCGACACAATGGAGTCTTCAAAGGCAAAGCGAGAATTGAGCTCGGCGATGGCAGCGAATAGAGCACTCCAACTGATCGAAGGGTCCGTGATGTGGAAATGCAGCAAGGCCTGTGGGGGAAAATCGCCCAAGATGAAAGATTCATCCGCGGCGAGTCCACAGAGGGTCCGTCCGCTTGAGTGTCCTACTCGCATCAAACATTTCAGCCATGTCCCGCTCCGTACGACAGCCGAATCGTGCGGTCTGCTCTTATGTATGCATACAAGATACCCATTTGAATAACTCGATTCGAGTCGACCCGGCTTGAGGTTGATCGTAATGCGTTCGCGTGCTCACCTGATGACTACTGATGAGGTGATTCTCATTCGGGAACAACTCGTCCATGGCATCACAAACTTTCGCCGAATTCTCTGTTTTCTCCTCAGGGCTCCGATCAGCTCGGAGCTTCAAAAACACCGTGAAACCTTCGCCATACTTCGATTTCAGTCGCTGGGTCGATCCAATACAGCGGAACCCGCCATTCACCATGATACACAGCCTGGAGGTTGATTTGAAAGAGGAAAAATCCCGCTACATTCGTATCTTATTTCGCTGCTCGAAATGATATTACGTTCCAAACCGTATCGCATCCGAGCTCGGATGGCTCTGATTCTCATTCATCTTCCGTCGCACCTGTCGCACAAAGCCTCGCACTCTTCCATCGAGTGAGACGTCAGAACGATGGCGCTTCCGAGCTCTCTCTGGACCTTGGTCAGGGCATTCCAGATCTTCCGACGTGCTTCGGGATCAACGCCAGCGGTGGGCTCATCCAGAAAAATCACCTTCGGGCCTCCGAGGATAGCGAGACCGATGGACAGTTTCCGCTTATTACCCCCACTATCGACGAAAACAAAGGTGACACTTAAGGTCAGCAGTCTCCATCGAAGCAACCGTTCCCCGAAGCGGCGGATCAAACCCTACGTTCGAGGGATCCAATCGCAATACGGTGAGCGGTTCTCAAGCTCCAATGAGCCCGCGGGTCGGGGACACATTATGCGTTTTCGGTTCGGGTTCACTCACCTGTAGCTGCCACACATTTTGTCGGCATGTTGAGAGAGGTCTGTGACTTGTATCAGGAATTCCGTCACCTCATTCACTCTGCTCAGTGGCACGCCCCGTAGAATACCGAACAGGCGGAACATTTCTCGCGCGCTCATCGTATCGATGATAGCGTCGAATTGTGGACAGTATCCGATTTCAGTTTGGAACTACGGAACGAAAGGGAGCCGATCAATCGATGCGCAGCACCGAGCCCTTCAGTTCCACTGCTTTGCTATTCGTCGATTTCAAATTTCGCAGAAATTTCGCAGAGACTCACCTTATCGCGGTTCTCTCTAAGACTGCAGTCTGATATGAACGCGTCCCCAGCCGACATGAGGAGATCCCCGCACAACATCCTGAACGTTGTCGTTTTCCCCGCCCCGTTGACGCCTAACAGGCCGAAGCACTCTTTCTCTTTCACCCTGCGGAAAATATCGAGAGGGAGTTGCATGGAGAACAGAAACGAACACAATACGCACGGTGCCCGTAGGGCTCCGTGAGAAGACGTAGAGCTCCGGGGAAAATACTCCGGTCGGAGCTCTCCGCCGATAGAATGTTTGTATCGAGCGAGCGTCTTTGACCGGCAGACTCATGTCTGTTCCGCCGAGTGAGTCTTCAATGTGCTTTCGTTTTTCGAACGCGAATCAATCGATTGGGACGAATAGGCTCGCGGCGGGTCGTTCGCGATTTTCGAATCAACGCACCTGAAAGAGACGTCCTTGACGGCATGGAAGTTTCCATAGAATTTCGAGAGTCGGTACGCTGTCATGGCAAGGCCGTCATTCGGTAGAGAACCCGTTACCATCTCCTCAACGAGCTCCTTCTCTCTGAGAACGTCCTCGTCTTCCGAGACTAATGGAAAGGATGCGGCTGGTATAGACTCCGCGGAGTCCCCTGGAAAATTCGGTCGAGTTGAAGCCGAGGTCGGAGTCTGAATCAGAGGCCGGTGACTCGGTCGCAGGGTTGGATTGGGATTATTATGTAAATGAGCCCAAGCTACGGGTTCAGCCATCGGATCACAATAAGACTTATCCTGAGTTTGGGTTCTTGTGACTTATCCTCCGGTCATACCTATTTTATCTTTCTTGCGCTTTCTGCAGAAAGCGTCCCGGACTTTGTAGAAGTAACGCTGCAAATTCATTTCAATGATGAGGTTGAGAGCGAAGAGCACGCTGCCCGTGATGACCAGGCAGATCATCTCCCAACCGGCTCCCGCATCGTCCATAGAAAATGCCGAGGGCCGATCGTAACGAAAAGCCGAAACATTGTTCTCCGTGAACTCTGTATGGACGAGAGTAAATCCAAGCATGAGACCGTCGGACTGTATTTTCTAGTGTCTGTCTCCTCATTATGCCTCTTGCAATTATGCACCTGAGCAACATCGTCCTATGAATGGCGTGGCCTCGGCAGACATTCTTTGCGCGCCGCATATCAAGTCCGTCGTCAGAACGTCTCTGTGTATTGATTCACAGGTTTTGTTCAAAGCACCGTTGTAGTGGATGTTCGAGAAACCCCATATCACCGCGAAATGCGGCAGGAAATGCAGAAAACCCGTCGAGATTCTCAACGCCTCGTTATCGATACCGAGAGGATTTCCCGGAATTCTCCCGAGGAACTGCAGCATCGTCACGACCAGCACCCCGATCATTCCTGGAACGGAGCATAGTATTTTTCATTGAGCGAAAGAGACGGTGAAAGGTCAGATCCGACTCCGTGGGCGCTACCACGATCCGAAGAATTTCTATCATTGCAATCACACTAGGCTGAACTCGAGCTCACCCACAAGAATCCCGAGGAACACCATCATGGAGAAACCGGTCGACGGCTTCTTCGGCCAATGAGAAACCAAATACGCCAATGGTATCGTGGCGAAGCCGAACAAGACCAGAAGGATTAATATAGCCCCTGCGTACGACGAAACAGGGTGGGTAACGATCTAAGCCCTCATCTACCAAATCATTTAATTTTCTCATTCTTCGCGATGCGTCCGTCGACGTTCGAACCTATTTTCTATGTCATAGAATCATGGATTCTATGAGTCTACGTTAAATAGTCATTGAGGACCCGGTGTCGTTCGCGATCTTACAGGGGGTGTCCGTGTAATGAGTGTACACTCCGTCAGGGTTCCCGAGCAGCAAGGTGGACAGCACCAGGAGGCAGCAAGCAATGTGCAGCTGAATGTCGTACAAAATCGACGAGAGGAAGTAGATCAACCGGTTCACGCCCGTCATTAGCTGCATCTGAAAGCGGCGACGCGCGTGAGAACATCTCCGTCCTCCACGGAATTCCCTAGACGCTGATTGAGCTGGTGGACTCGGATTCAGGCTCGCGGGCCGATTTGCTGGAACTCCGCTCGAGGTGTCGTCTCTCCTCACGCACCGGTAAGCTTCAACGGGTCACAGGTGTCCGATAGAGCCACTCCGATCTAGGGCATTATGCGGAGCGACCCAGAAACGCTAGGGTGAAGCGATGGAAAACCGGGGAACGAGGAAAGAGGGGGGCAGGACAAAGCGGGGGAGCGATAAATGGAAGGAATCAACTCTGCTCCGGGACAGGTCGACGCCACACAGCGGAGTTCAAAGGCGCTGTTCGAATGACGTGGACGTCTCTCGCTCACCAGTTTCGCCTTAGAGACATTCTCCTGGACGGGGAATATGATGAATGATGATGTAATGAAGGCGAGCGAGAGTGACATCAACGCGGCACAGAAGAGCCGAGCTGTCGGAAATTTCTAATTATTATATCGTGGCTCGACATGTGGCGAACGTATACGAATCGCTCATCGGCGCACGACGATGACGAACGCGACCATACTTACGAACGGTATCGGTACTCATCAGTTTCTCCTTCGGGAAACTCTCTGACCCCCAGGGAATCGGCTGATAGGTCACACGTACCTGCAGGAAGGCGGAGAGCGATGCTCGATGGCTTCAGAAAGGAACAAAGGCGAGAAAATACCATCTCACGGAGCGGAACGACAAATTCAAGGATAGAAAACTCACTTGACCACCGAGGATCGCGGAATACGCCGAAGTCAGGGCGCACATCTGGACGTGGTAGGGCTCGCCGGAATACCAGATGTTGAGCGCACTCTCATTGATATACGTTGCGCCTACCAAGTGCTTGAGCTTATAGTCGTTCAGATCCCTGTGGGCTGCGAGAAGAATAATTCCCTCGGTCAAATCACCCGAAACTCGATCTCTGACGTGCGAGCTCCGGTCTAACTCTCAAATCAGAGCCGGAGTCTGTCGGACGACAGGGGATCCGAGATGCCGAGGAAAAACAATCGACTTCAAGCTCCGAGATAAAAGGCTGGAGAGGAGAGGGGGACGGGTCGGAGCATTCCTCACCGAGCTGCAGAAGATATGCCTGGATGTCGTCATCCGTTGTATTCTCGGCGAAAATCTGAACGCTTGTCTGTTCCTGGAGTTTGTTCCAGGTCGCGTTCATTAGCGCAGACGACGATCTCGGTACGAGGAAACTTTCAGTGGGCCCGAAGAGCTTATACAGGTCGTATGTCACCGCCTGGACAGGGTTTCGCCATGTGAGTATCTGTTTTATGACCAGCGCACGCCACAGTTCGCGCTCCTCCAGTTTCACGTATTGACTCGCTTCGGAGAATCAAGGCGTGTCATCCGATCACAGCACTGTCTCCGGACGAGGGGAAGAAAAAATGACAACGAACACATACCGATGCGCCGGAACCGCCCACCGCAGTGACGAGACGGCTGTCAACAATGCAGAAGAGAATTGTCGTCAAAATTGGTAGGACCACCATGAACACCGGTAGCCACCATTGTCGCTTGGCAGCATCGTGTCGTTTCATCAATAGTCCGACGAAATGGTTGGCGTGTAGTCTAGCGCCGGAGACCCTTTCGTATGTGGGGAACTGCCGATCTGACGAGTGAGCGAAGACAATGGACGGGAACATAAATCAAGGAGGAACGAATAAATTATGCTTTCCATGCAACAACGAACTCTAATATCTGACCATAGGAAAGTTGCTTGCAGCTTCGGGACCGACAAGAGGTGTTCGAGCTCATGATTTACCTGCCGCTGGGGTTTTCGCGTGTCCGTTCGACTGAGGGCCGTCGCCTTTCCCCTCAGGTGATTGATCCGATCCCACGATTGCGTTACCGTCCACGCTTGCTCCCAACTCACCGACTTTCAGGAAAACGTCTTCCATCGTGGTCACGGCGACACCCAACGAAACGACGCCCAAGTCCGCCTGGAATTTCTATTCTCTGATTTTCCGTCGGCTGACCCGCCCTCCAAGCATGCGGAGCCGCCGGGTTCTCTGCTCGATAATAAGACCACGAAACGCATGGGAAAACATGCAGCCTTTAACACGCGTCGGCAGTAACCTTGTTCTCCTCGAAAAACTTGAATAAGTCGACCATGCGATCAACGGTCGGAAATCCCAGGTTTACGACATACTCGTACGTCATGTCAGCTTCCACGCTGGCCGTTCCTCCGACGAAACGCTGAACGACCTCCATGGCCGCATCAACATCCACGTCCGGCGAGGCTTTCGCGATGCGCATTTTGTAGCCGGTCTCTAGTCAGATGAGTCAGATGGAAGCAGCAAATGGAGCATTAGTCAATTGAACAAAGGAGCTAAGTATCGGTTGGAGTCCGAAGTCCCCTATTCCATTCGTTTCCCTCCGAAAGTTTGAGCTCTTCGCGAGCCACGCTCGCGCACGCGACGCTTATTGCTCGACATTAGTTCTGCGCGTACCGAATTTCTTTTTGAGAAACATGGGGGAACCCGAGCACATGATGGCTCCCGCCGTCAGGAATGTTATCCTGTCTCCTAAAACGTCCGCTTCCTCCATATAGTGAGTTGTGAGCAATATGGTCCTGCCTTTGCGCAGTTCTTGCAAGACAGTCCAGACCATGCGACGGGCCTGAGGGTCCATCCCAGCGGTGGGCTCGTCCAGGATAATCACCTGCGGAAAGCGAGTTCCGGAGAAGTTCCAGAACGAGAATTGAACTGAGTGAAAAACAAGTTTTGGTCAGCTCGCTGAGCGCACTTACCGAGCTGCCGCCCACCATGGCGTTCGCCATGGAGAGCTTTCGTTTCATGCCCCCGGAGAGGTTCTTCGATAATGTGTCCATTTTGGGAGTCAGTTCGAATTTGCATACGAGCTCTTCGGCTTCCTCGTTGACCAAGTGCTCGGGGGCGCCTTTCAACTTCCCGAAAAACACCAGGTGTTCCCGTACCTGGAGCACAGAAATCATTTCACGCGCGCGAAAATCCCGGGGACTAACGAGAGAGCTCGTCAGCAAAGGAGATTCACCGGCCAGAAGGGTCGGCTCGACTGTGATCTGGCGGCTCCAGTACTCACGGTGAGCTCGTCGAAGAGGACGTTGTGCTGAGGGCATAGGCCCACGTTCTTCCGAGCTTGCCGGGTGTGGGTTCGAACGTTGAAACCATTAATGAAGAGCTGCCCTGACGATGGCGGGAATAGTCCTGGAAACAAAAGTTCTCGACAATGCGGTTCATCAGAGGACTGTCGCCGTCGTCGAGTCATTTGCGGAGACTGCTGTCATTGGACTCATCGGCGGAGTGGGCAAACTCTGCCGGGAATGGTGAGTCGGTCTGTCTTCTCTGGAAAGCCCAAACATACCAACCAGTCAGAATGTTCATCGTGGTCGTTTTCCCCGCTCCGTTGTGACCGAGGAGCACAGAGATCTCGTCATTGTACATTCTGAGGCTGACGTCCTTGAGAACCTTGATGTAGAAAAAAATCAGGATTTTAAAAAATTCTGGCTTAGGGATCAAAGGCAGATGCAAGTCGCCTCATGAGTACTTGAAAGCGCTCTCAGACATGATGAATGATTGGATTATTTCGAGCAGCACGAAAACCGAGCGTTTGTCCGTCGCTCTCGGGAGTTTCTCCCCCTTGCCCCTCTGCCGACATCTATACCGAGTTAGAATTTCCCTCCTCTTGACTAGATATGAGGGATACCGAGGAAGCATATCTAGAGGGAGGCACTAATAAGTCCTCCGGCGCCGACGGTGGAAAGCTTCATCATCCGAGTGTCTCAGGCTCCTCTCTTCTCGCTCATTATATCGGAAAAAGTTCGTGTTTGCTCCGGGGAGAAAAACGCTCCAAAGTACGAGCTCTGATTCGGATGAAGTGAAACGTATGAATCACAAACCTGTTTGCTTCCGAAGTATTTGCTCACGCTCCTCAGCACAACTGCTGGCTGGCCACTGCTTGAAGAATACTCCTCAAAAAGTTCGTTCGCCGATGTCTGATCCTGGATATCAGAGAGTCCTGTACAGGAGTTTTTCCGGGCAACCCAATAGGATCTCTGGAAGAGCAGAAATGCCTGTTGAGAGGGGCGTATGTGTTTGCTTACTCACACGGCCAGGAACGGCGGAGGAGGCAGGCGGTGTGAGCTCAAAAGGGACGGTTGAACTACCGCGACGAGGTCTAATTTATCATTTAAAGCACGGCAAATGCTTCGGGATTTTATCTTGGCGCGCTCAAGTCCCACGCTCATAGGGAGCATCATTATTTTACCTGGAACAGGAACAACGGATGTCTCGGGATTCCTAACTGCCATGGCCAAACGTTGTCGAGGTAAAAAATGAGCAAGCTGTACAGGAGGCATCCGAGCAAGAGGTCAGTCATTACGCTGCCGAGTACGATGTTGTCCCCCGGAACCGCCGGCGAGTATATAGACGCCCAGTGAGCCCCGACACCTGCAGTTATTTTTCCACTCATTTTTTTGAATACTTGACCCAGTGCTTCGCCGGCAAGGAATACGACCCCCGTTGTCCCTGGAGATCAATAGCTCCTAATTCCCCGAGCACGATTCCTTTACTCGAAGGCCGTATACCCTATATCTCGTTCTCGTTTCTCTCCCCTAGAATCCTCAGAGTTCCGAATCTCGGTTCAACATCACAAACGAGACAGATCCCTCTCCTTATTACTCTCTCACCCTGGGATTCTCTGAAACTGATTAGCTTGAAGCACCAGTATAATCCAGAGTTGGGCAGGAACAATGTTGTGAGGAGCTTCGCGGAACGAGACAGGCTCTGATACCGATTCTGATTTATCGGGTCGAGGAACGAAGTTGATATTGACAACGATAAGAACCAACAGAGAGTTCCCACCAATGTTCCGATGACAGCTGCAACAGAGCGGCACCGCGGGTTAATGCGGATAGGCGGGCGGGCGGAAATCCGTAGGGAATATCCTCCCGATGCAGGGTATGCGCGCCGAGGTGAACGATACTCACGGGACTGGAACAGAACGGTGAGGAACATGAGGTACAGCGTCGCACCGACCGCGTGCAACAAGAATACACTCAGGATGAGCGTTGGATCAGAACGGGTCAGAACTGCTTGGTCCATGCGCACTGGAATCTGGAAGGGAATCGATTATCTCCCGAACGAATCCTGTCTCAACCGTGATCCCGGAGCTCCCGTAAAGAGAAATTGAGTCCGCAAAGTTCTCATCCCGAGCGGAGTGATCCGGATAGAATTAAAAGGATATTGTAGTACCGGCCAAGGCTCCGCTCCCAACCCACCTTGAAAGCGAGGACTGCCATGATGGATACCAAGGCCATCGTGAGGAATCCATTGAGAAATGTGTTTGTCCAATAAACCCAATCGGAGAGACCCATCATGCGAAGGTGTTCCTGATCGAATACGGCACGAATTCAATGTCGTTATTGAATTCGCCGACGAAGCGACCGAAGAACTTCTACGTCCTTCGGCGCCCTTAGACCGCATGGGCACCCACACGGACGGCGGAAATGAAAGAAATTACCGCTGACCTTTATTCTCGACTGTTTCTCCTGGACAATCCGCCGTATGTAACGTATGACGAACATTGTATAACCGTACACGTACAGCACAGGTATGAACGAGCTCAACGACGTGAACGATTTGTCGTCAAGCCACGATGGGAAGGGGAAACGGCTGAGATACACCTGTCGAATTTATCAAAAGCATTTTTTGGTTCTATTAAAGAGTCGCCGGAGCTTCTGAGAACAGAAACGAACCCATAACCACCGAGACCGTCGGGGAAACGGCGGCAGCGGCATACAATCGCGGCGATCCACATGGAGCCTATACGGAATATTTGTAGTCCGAACTTTGTATCAAGAGCTACTCCGAGGAGCCGACTCGAGAATCCGACCGGCGAGCTTTAACGAGATACGAGAGCCCGAATCGCAGACTTTCGTAATTGACTCGAGCCGGCACAAGCCTGTCATCTCGCTCGAGCTGGGGGTCGACCGACTTAACGGGACAAGGCTTCCGTCTGATATCATCTCACGAGTAAACATTCTTTTTTGAAAATGACAATCACCAGGTTTGACATGCTTTTCTGAAAGTTTCCGAGCCCCGGAGCAACCCCGAGTCGTTTTTCCCTGCTGTCCTGCATTTCATACCCCTTCCCAGCAGGCTCCGAAACCCGGAATAAACACCATTTACATCGAAATCCGGGATATTTTGCTCGGATATCGATGGGAATGGGTCTTTCCGGGCTTCGGAACCTGGGGAAAAACCATTTCCATCAAAATCCGAGAAAAATATCCCGGATTTCGATTTAAATGGTGTTTTTTCCGGGTTTCGGAGCCTGCAGGAAAGGGGTATGAAATGCAGGACAGCAGGGAAAAAGGACTCGGGGTTGCTCCGGGGCTCGGAGACTTTCAGAAAAGCATGTCAAACCAGGCGATTGTCATTTTCAAAAAGAATGTTTACTTGTCAGTGCCACAAGACGTCAAAACGTCGCTCATTAGACTCCGATCACGCTGACTCAGAGTCATGGAGAGCAACCGAAGGAGGAACTCTGCTTTCTTGAAGACGCTGCGCGGGAGTTGTTTCTCCACATCGTTCAAGGAACGATATCCTCTCCCTATTCCCCGCTCGTTACGGACGACGGGAAAACTTCAATTCCTGAAATCCGGTTGACGCAGCCCGGACTCCCGCATCGGTGTTCTGAATCAATGGAGGATTCGATTTTGAGCGACCGGTAGAATAGGACTCGAGATCCCCATGCGACTCTACTCTGAAATCTTTCAGAGACGGTCTCAATATGAGAAGTAAGCCAGGAGTTTATTTTACAAGAGCAGTCAAGCCACCCTTCTCGGGTCATGAAGATTTGTTCGCTATAAGCACGAGCCGAGATAGACAAAGCCGCTTTCCACTTCTCGAATCTTGAGATTGGATCGTGAGCTCTTTTTATGGTGGGTAGGTCGCTTCACTGCATCGTGATAATCAGCTTGTGTAGATTTGCTCCGAGCGCTTCCTCTATGCCTCTGGGTAGAAGGGTAAGTTTCAACGTTCTCGCGCTCCTCTCACCGGAACAGCAATTATCTCTTTCCGCGGCAAAAGATTCGTGGCACTAAGTGCGCCGATAGAGACGACCCCCTGCCCTAGACTCCCCCAGGATCCTATTCGATTGGTTGTAGACTCACCGCGGGCTTTGAAACATTATGCTTCTCTGCGTACACCGTCATGATGCTTTCCATGATGGCAGGTAAGATGTTTTTATCAGGTGCGCGTGGACCTCTTTGCGGTAAGTGAGGGAACAGGCGGCTTGTTTCGTAATAGGCCAGTGTTTGGTTTATGCGTACCTGAAGACCCAGGAAACATTCGGGTAACGGAGTTTTGAGGGCGTGTACTCCCTCTCGAGCTCCCACCCCCACAAATCCGCCTTCGGGACTCCCGCCTCTCTGTCCAGACCTCCACAACCCAGAGCTCCACGTTGCGAATTGCGACACGGTAACCTAATCCTCCGAATAAAGCTCAAGATAACGTTTCTCACTTCGTATGCGAGGTTTTTCGGCTCAGTTCTCGTGAACTCTACGCTGAAAAGAACTTGGCCTTTCATGATGTATTCATTGAGTGATTTCGCGTCATCAACTCCCTCGACGGCTGTGACTGGAAAAGAACGCGAGAATAAGGAATCCCCCGATTGAAGTTACTTATCTCTAAATCCCCGAACAAATCCAGTGATTAGGGGAAGGTCCCGAAAAACAATTCGCACCGTCGCCGAAAGCCTCGACCATGATGTCTGCCGTGAGCCCATTCTGCGGAGCATAAACAATTCGTCGAGGGTCTTTCGAGGCCCGATATCGGGTCGGGAATGCTCGGAGAAGAGAGGAATTGAAAGTCTCCTGTGGCCTCCAAGTGAAACTCGGACGGTTCCTCGCGCCTCCTTCGCTCAAACTGCGGAGAAATACGAGTAATCCTGTTGGGAGAGAAGGAGAACAATTCAGACTAGTCAAAAAATCCCTTCCACGACTCCACACCGCTTTCAGTCGCTCATGCTGGGGAAATCGACGGCTGGTCGAAGTTTTCGAGAGCCCCTAACCGATCAATCCGAAGGGGATGGCAACTTCCAATATGGATGCTATCAGCGATCTCTTGAGTCGAGTCACCCAGATGTCTTTCCACAAGAGAGCGCGGAGCTGCTTGAAGAAACTCGGTTGAAGATTTTCCATGGCGAGCTCTGGATTAATCGCATGGACCCTGGAACGAGAAACTGTCAGAACCCCATGAGTCGAGAAATTCCTATCGCGGGAAGATTCCATGGAGGAATAATTATTTTCTTCCAGCTTGCCCTCCGTCCTATTCCCCGCAGAATTCATAACGACTGGAGAACTTCTCGCATCTCCCCGATATCACGTGCCATCCAGCTCTTTCCAAGCCTATTGATCTACGAATCGATGCTTCCTCCAACGGGAATTCTCTCGTCCGGAACGCTAACTCGACGGTCGCAATGCACATGCACGGAGCGCGGCATGAGGCTCTCAGGACTCAGAATTAGCATGAGACCCCAATCGACAGCGCTGTTCTTTCTCTGAATGCCCGACTTCTAAGTGGGTGACGCGAGCAGAAAAAACGCAGGAGCAGAAGAGCCCTGATCTCGCCCCATCCTGGAACATGATGATCTTCACGGATTGCTCTCATGGCGTCAAGCATTGCACATTGAGAGGAGGCCTGTCAGCCGATTCAAGGGACCGGTGCGGAACTGCGCTCTTCGCGGCCGGTGCGATTCACCAAATTACCTGGGCGCGTTCATTGTAATTGACTACTCACTTGATTGGGAACCATCAGGCTGGCCAATGGCTCGCAACCGTATTCCGAAACCGAATGACGAGTTCTAATTCGAAATATCGCTCAGACTCCGCATTGTCACCTATGTATATTCTGCCCCCAGAACGTTCAAGGAGCTTGAGTTCAATTAGCTAATTGAGAGTCTCACAGCGTTCGAAAACCCGAGATCGATGACGATTTCTTCAGACTCCGCACCCCGACTCTGCGATCACTCATCCATGCACCAGCGAGAACAATGTCATCTATGCGTCACGGAGGAATCTCATGAATCCAACAATGGACACAGCTCGAAGGCATCCCGTACTTCTGAATTCCCTCGAAGTCCCCATCCTCGCTGCGAAAAATGTTTATTTGCGGACGGTCAGCTGGGAGTCCGAGTAGACACAACTGCGCCCAGCGAGGTCGGCCACCAGGCTGGCCGTGTTTGCCCACTACCCTGGGACCGCACTTAAGTAAGGGGGAACAATTTGCTCTTTCCAGCGAAAAAAAGTGCTATCATAACGTAAATAAAGACAACTGACTGAATGTCAAGCCGTCCATGATATTCTCATGTCCTCAGCCGACAGGAAATGTATTCCGACTCATCGTTCCCTCAGATTGTTCCTGAAATAATTCGATCAGGGTCGGAAGATCATGGGAACCGGGGACGCCTGTTCTCGTGCCGGGGTAACCTGTGGCGTGCCTCAGGAGTGCGAAGCCGCTGCTGTCATCCGCCCTCCTGATCGGGAGAATGCTCATTCAGACCCATTGGGCCGACACAGAGCCCAGTTTTGGATCGAATCGCTAATTTTGATTTTCTCTCTTTTGACGCCTCAGGAACAGCGCCCGGGTCTAAGGGGGCTTGTTCCTGGATATTCTTGTGCGTCCTTGGGCCCAGAGAGATGAATCATGACTCACCTGCTCTTGAACATCAGGTCACTGATCGCGGACTACTACGACGGTTGTCAAAACTGTTCTCGGCATTTTCATTCGTACTTAAGTATTTCCCGTGACTTCGTTTCAAAATCTCTCTCGCAGTCACTATGGCAACTTAATCGATTCGTAACACGGCCTGCTTGAATTCGACTCGACCCTCTCCAGATAGCAGCGGCCGCAAGTTGCGATCGTCGAGCAATCGTGGGAATTGCGACCTGAGAATCCTCTTGGCTTCTGAAAATAGAGGACTGAAGACCTCATTCGCCTCTTCAGGCTCTCGTCAGTCGCGACAATTCTCCCCATGGCTGTGGAAATCCGAAAGTTTCTCTGCTCTTCTGGGCTCTTGAGCGTGGTCGGTCCCTTTTTCCTGCAGAATTCGAGTGGCTCCGTACATGTACCGATGATTTCTGAATATCGAATGAGTTATAAAAATGATGGATGACGTATGAATCTCCCCAGTCGATGCCTACCACGGTTGACTGCCAGACTGCTGAAGGGTAAGCATGGACTCGGTTCCGCTCACTCATCCGATTCTCGGACGAGGAATAAGTTACTTTCAGCGGAAACATAGCGACGACCGGCGCAGCAGTCCCCCTCATCATGAACCATAGGGATACACCAGGAGTCGGAACCCCCTCCCTTGAAAGCGTGAACCTCATTTATAATGAGCATAATATTCCAGAATACGGTGTTCGTTTCAGAAATCCGAAGTCGACCAGCGCAAATTCTTGCTCGGGCCGGCTGAGAAGTAGGGTCGATCTCAGTCACCGGCAGACCCTTTCCGAGTATATCGACTTGGGATCTTGAATTTGCCGAATATGAATGTCTCGACTGCCGATGGCTGATATCAACCAGAGTTGAGATCTGAGTTTTCAACGGAGATCTAGCTCTACTATATCTGAAATTTCGACGAATAATACAATGGCCAGGAATAGATTTCTCGTAAGTTCTCGGGCAATCACATCTGACGGACATGAGTAGGGAGATGTCACTGTAAAACGGTGTAGTCAGACGCTCCGAGTACAATTCACAATCGGGCATCATTCCGGAAACGACACGAGGGGAGGGGCGGGAAGCGATTTCTTGGGGCTGAATTTCGATCGATCTTACCACAGGATACTTTTTCCGCGAGGAGGCAATAAGAACGCAAGTTGCTCAAGAAATGATCGACCGTGTCGTTTTCCGAATCAACCGGGCTTGCGCTTCGGACGGCTTGTTTTCGTCGGCGGCTCAAGCAAGGCTCTCATTTGGCCACCACTTGCCGTGCGAACAACCGAGGGCGGCTAGATCAGATTTCCATCAAGCTCCTCGAGAGATCTGGAAAATTCGTTGGAACCGCCATCAGCAGGGTATTTTGCCGGCTTCAATTGATAATCAGACTCCAGGGCCTCCTCCGAACGTAGGCCGGCGAATGTGCCCTGTCTAACTCAACTCCGATTCGTCCCTCTGGTGCTTTTCACAAGGAAGATCCGAAGCGTCCGTCTAATGAGTCTGGGTGCATTCGGGCGAGGGACAGCGAGTTCTCCGAAAACGAGTTCCCTGATCGTCGAAGCTTCATCGCGAGTTCTACAAGAAATACCGTAAATTCTACAATATAGGCCCGGGCTTCCAATTCTGCAAGAGTCTCACAACAGAGGAGGGAATTCTATTTGAGAAAGAGGGGCTGTTTTGTTCCTGAAGGAATCCCACTTCGAGAAGATGACGGCATGGGGAGCGTGCTCCCAGTTTAGAGATCGGCAATCGACGGGAGATAGTAATAGTCTCGGTGGAATATGCATCAACTTGTAGCGCTCTATGCACTTAATTATATACTTGATGCCTATGAATTGGGGACGCGGGGCTTGTCTTACAGGCAAGGGCTCAAATTCGAGGGGTGGTTCTTGTTTACGAGAAGCATCAACCAGAGGCTCTTAGCAGGAAGGGGCTTCTGTTGAAGAGGAGCTTCCATTTTTAAGATTTACGGTATACCTGCTTGAATGCCACGTGCCACGGCTCGCACCGACTACTCCTCCTGGAAATTCCTGCGCGAGATCTCCGCTGGCCCAATGAATTTCTTCAAGGGCGCCGTCATCTTCATCGATATGTGAGTGTGATCGTCGAGCAGTCACGCTATCTAGCAGGCGATATCGATGGCTATAAGAAGTGCGCGTTCGTTCTAGGTATTAGGTATCGACACAATTCCCATTCGCAGAGATCGGGAAGGGTCTGGCTGATGAGTGATGAGTGAAACATCCTTCCGACTCGTTCCGGAAGATTCCTTCCTGCGAAGATCGTCCAGGAGATTTTTCGCCGGAGACTCGAAACCAGGCCCCCACGATTTAACCCAGAAAAAGAGGAGAAACCGGAGAGTCGTCAGCAAAAACTGTCGACCTCGGAGGCAGTAGCGGCAACCTGAACCGGCGATGCTCGTAAAAACCTCTTCGCGTAGACATCGATAAAAATGAGACGGACGCATCAATCGCGCAAACTCCCTCTCGGAGAGTTGCTCCCGGAAACCGAAGTATTGTGAATGGATCAAATGCTCGAACCCGCCTGACGAGCTTTTCAGACGGGTAGCGGAATACTAATAACATTAAATATCTGAGCGGCTTGGGAACTCCGAGGGCACGATGAGCAGGGATTTCAATTCGGCAACACGAAGAGCAAGGAGAGACAACAGCTCAAGACGGACGCCATCCAAGCAATACTCTTCTGTGTATATATGTTTTCTCTGTGACTCAGGATTCCGAGTGAAAAGATCTCCTTGACATCTTCCCTCTCTGGCGGATTCCGTCCGAGCTATCTTCAAGAATGACCATGCTCCCCGCGCGACAACCAGGCGCGAATCCCTCGTTGTGCTCGAATCACCCCAACGTCGACCGACAATCTGCGCAGGTGACTCCAAGTCGCTTTCCCAAGCTCCCGAAGATAGATATTGGGAGCACGTGCGGCTGAAGACTACGACAGGAGGCTCTCTGCCTAATCTCTCCCGGTCATGCTCCTTCTGGACTGCATCGGTGGAAATTCCTACCTGCTAAAAAGATCCCTTACGAGAGGTGACTCCTGAGTTCGGTATTGAGCCGTGATTCTTGCTGCTCAGGAGGAATCGTAAGCTAACACCCTGTCTGGCGATCAAGCATCGGCACTAACTCCATTCTGGGAGACAGAATCGATAATGTAGCATGATCAATGATCTCTAAATTCGATTGTTCCTCGCTCCCTCGTGAGCTAGCCAAGAATACAGTTCGATCCTCAGGCGGACCCGGGCAATTTCCCCTCAGCGATATCATCTCAGTTCGACTTCTGTTCTCTCGACGAAGTACTGAGACAACCTCAGCGGCTAGGCGAGGTCGATGGGGGAGGGGGAATTTCTACCCAGGTCGTGAGCGCGCGAGTTCTCACGAATGCCGCTTAATGGTGCTTCGTTCTCAGACTCGGTGCGCTCAGAGTCTCCTATCCCCTCCCAGGTCTGGGTGGTGGTGCCGGGGCATTGAAGGCTGGTGTTCAGACGAAGAGTGGGATTATCCGTGGAACATTGCTTCTGCGATTGAGTTTGGCTCGCTTTCAGCAGACTCCCCGTCTACCTGTGGGCGCTCTCGATCAGAGGTGGCCAACCTTCCTGGTGCCGCGGACCACTAAGGCCTTGGCGACGGGGCCGGCGGACCATCAAGCTATGGGTCATGTCATATGATTTCGAATCATATGTCATCATATCACTCATCCAGAACGCTGCCTCGTATCCACTGGGCGTGTGAGTGAGGTCCGGGGACCATCAATTGGCCCGCCCTGCCCTGGATCCCATTCCTTGCGCGATGACAAAATCAAGCCGCTCCATCCTCGGCAGCCGACTTGTCTTCTCATCAACGGCTCTCATCAGGAGGCTGACTCGTCGAGGTCCGGCAAGAGTCCTCTGAAGAATAAGGAGTGCCCGAACTCTAATTTCTCTGGGAGCGCCTTTTGGAAGCTCGGAAAGCATTGTCCTCCGACGATAAGAAAATTCTCCGAATGTGCTCTCGATAAACAAGGCCAATATGTTGATCGATCGAGGATAGACGCACGGGAAGGACAAAGATAGGAATGAGATGGAGAACCATAAAAGCGTCTGGAAATGGCTACAATGCCAGAGAGACTGAGGAAGGCAAAGAGACTCGGAAGTATATGGTTTCGGCGATTCTCATCCCACAATGGCTGAGAGGTTTTTCGAAACAGAACCAGGCCGGAGTTTCCCCAACCAGAGAAACCACGGGTGAAGTATTGCATTACGGAGTTCTGAGACGAGACCGGCGATGTTTCCGCCCACCCTGGCCTTCACCCTCAATCCCCGCCCGTACAATACCACAGCGAAAACCAAGCGGGTGCTCATAAGGTTCACGCTCATATATTTATTGATGATACTGGCTTCGAATTTCCCCGTTTAATTAGGTAGGCAGCAATTTACACCGGCTTGTAATCGAGCTTCGTCTCAAGCTTTTTGACGTCTGCCACCTTCCGCACCGCCTTCATGAAATCTTCCTCCACGACGTACTCACGGTCAGCTCTGAAACGGAAATCATCATGGTCAGAGAAGGGAACTGATATCGGGACGGTGCCGGAAGCGACTTCGGAACCTCACGAGAAAGCATCCTGGGCCAACGATTCCGAGGCCTCCTCACCTGATTGCAAACATGCCAGCCTCGGTACAGATGTTTCTGAGATCAGCACCGTTAAATCCATCGGAGAGCTTCACCACAGCCTCCCAATCGATGTCGCCGTGCTTGGTGATCGATCTTGCATGGATCTTCAATATATCGAGCCGAGCTTGCTCGTTCGGTAGAGGAATTTCGATTTTCCGATCCAGACGTCCAGGTCGTAGCAGAGCCGGATCCAGAGTGTCAGGTCGATTGGTTGCCATGATGATCTTAACCTGACCGAGAGCGTCGAAACCATCCATCTGGTTCAAGAGCTCCATAAGGGTTCTCTGAATCTCCCGATCGGCCGACGTGCCCTCACTGAAACGACGACCCCCGATAGCATCGATCTCGTCCATGAAAATGATGCACGGTTGATGGTCGCGGGCGTAGTTGAACATTTCTCTGATGAGACGAGCCGATTCCCCGATATATTTGTCGACGATCGCGGAGGAAACCACTTTCAGGAAATTAGAATCCATATTCGAGGCAACCGCTCGAGCGAGAAGCGTTTTCCCGGTACCAGGAGGCCCGTAGAGAAGGCAGCCTTTCGGGGGAGTGATTCCCACCCTGAGGAAGAGCTCAGGGTTCAACAGAGGGAGCTCGATTACTTCGCGAAGCTCCCGGATCTGATCTTGAAGACCACCGATGCTTGAGTAGGTCACATCACCGGGGTCCTCATGTGACATGTTGTAGACGAGGGGGTCCACTTCACGAGGGAGATATCTGGAACGGCGCAAAATTTTACCACTAGCCGAAAAGCCGCAAGGGCACTTCAAAACAAGCGAGAGTCATGTCGAATGTTCGGAGGACTCAGCGGGATTCAACCCACCTCATGATTGTTAGAGTTGTCATATCCAACGCAACTCGCGTGCCCGCCTTCAGCTTCTCCTTGTTCAGTTGGCGACGACAACCAACGACATATCGCGGTCCGTTCGTGGCCTTCACGATAAATTTGTCTTCGGTCAGTTGCTTGAGCACCTCACCTTAAAAAACAATCCGTTTCTTGATTCAAGAGCGCTCACAGCTGTGCTCACGATATCGTTTCTTCCTTGGAGGGCGTAGTGTTCCGGGGGCATAAAATAAATTAGCTCAAGAACTTACCGACGATCTGTCCCACAGACTGGAGAGCTTTCAAGTCGTTTTCCGATTTTTCGTACTGTTTTGTGAGCTCCTTGAGCTGCTCTCGCATCCCCTTCAGCGAGGAAGCGACATCGCGGTGCTCACCAACCTATGGAACAGAGGCCCATTGAGCATTCCTTCCTGAATTTCAATATCATCTCCGTGGAAACAACTCAATTGCGGTTGACGACTACGGAGGTAAGTCTCTGCATCTTGGAAGCACAACTTGAACGACAGATCCGAGGAGCTCTCGCTCAATTCTATTCTCTCGAAGCAGCGTGAATCGAGTTTCCAGCTTCCGTCTTCGTCTACCTATTGAGGAGTTGCGATCGCAGGGGCTGGTACCGAATCCGTCAGCTCTTTTGGAATGCATCAAAGAACATCTGACCGATTTAATAAATGCAGGTAAAGCTCTCTTCACAAGGAGGCGCGGACTCTTGGTTCGATTCAGATCCCCGAGATCTTTGACAGCTCCGATATCCAATTCAACGTCGAAGCTTGTCGAGAAATTTCTATCTACAAGCGGGAGAATTCATGGGACTGACATGAGCGAACGTTCAGTTCAGGCCCCTGGTTTTCTAATTATTCACCTTGCGTCGGTACTCTTCCAAAGCTTTCTGCTTGGCAGATTCTGCTGGTGTCTGTACAGTCTCCGGTGTTACCGCGGCTTGTGACATCGTGTTCTTTCAATCTTTCGACTCGGCCTGAACCCAAGGTAAGGCACACTTCTTCCTGTTTTCTTGCAAGTCAATGTTTACAACTTCGGAGCAGACGACATGCTGCTCTGTCGAACCCGAACTATTTGAAAATAGCAAGTTCCTCAAGAGAAGATGCCTGGTCCCAAAATTTTGCTCTGCGACGAGGCATGACTGACGTCCCGAGGACGGAAGCTGCAGATCTCGATCGATCTCACAATCGGATTCCGGACTTGCCCTCCAGAAAAGTGAACTATCCTTACTCGACGACTCGGAGCCGCGTCACACCCACATTCGGAGCAGCTGGAGCAATCGAGATCCTTCAAATCACTCGAAAAATCAACGGATCGACGATTTCGTGTGCTCTAGGAAGCCCGTCGATACGTCGAACTCCCGGAGAATACTGGTACTGTCGAGACCGGGGGCCTAATCCCGCCACCGGATAGGAGTGTCGGGAGCAGTGATTTCAGCGAGCGTCTCTATATAAAAGAGCGGTCCGCCATCTCGTATCACATTCGTTTGAACTTGTGCTCGAAGCACCACGGTTCAACGTTCTATTTGATATTCTTTATCGTTGACTCGATTTGGTGAGTACCTCTCCAAATCAACTCCCTTCAGAGACCTTAAATCAGTTGACGTCGACTCGCGTCTCGTAGTGAAATGGGAGAGCAGTTCGCTCGGGTCCCACGTCGTCCGGCGCGGTGCCGGCGTGGTCTCCCGTAAAGACCCGGTATTAGCGACGTATCGCTCGGGCTCTCCATCCCCCGACTCCCGCAGGAAGGCGGACGTTTGTCTTGGTGATTCTGAGGTAGTCCATGCAGCTGCCGAGAGCTGTCTCGAAGGGTCCGACCTCGATTTCGGAGCCATCGTGGTCGACCGACTCCAAGCTGACAACCGTTTGATACGATCCCGAAGCGGCAACGGAAACTTGTCGAGGGAAGTCCGGGGACCACGCTGATGCAGCATCGCAAGCCGTGACTCCCGTCGGACCCTGAGGAGTCGTCGATGCAGAGAGTCATGGACTCCGGAGTTCGAGCAGCTCCACGGTCGAGAGGACGGCGAGCGTTGGCTCCGGTGAAGATCTAGGGCGCCTGAGCCCAGGTCACGTAGAGTCGGGGTCAGCCGTATCCATAGACACAGACTACCTCCTTTTAACTCTATGATGCTTAGAATCCATGTCCATTCCGATCCTCCGGTCGCTTTGAGCCGTTATTCTGGAGAACCTGGGTGTGGCCAGAATCGCGAAACAGGCATGCTTCTCTCTCCGCGAGGCATCTTGACTATATATAGCATTCGTGATGGGCACGTGGACAATGAGACGCCGAGACTTCTCGTCGATGTGGAGCAGACCGAACATCGAATCTTAGATACTTCATTCTCCGGATATCCTCCGACTGACAGGGCTCTGCGATGGGATTCTTTCGATATCGAGGGAAATTTGATACCGAAATGCTCGAATAAATCTGACCGGCATTGCTTCCTCTTTCTTGCAGACTTTAACCAATCATCATGCGTGAATGCATCTCTGTCCACGTCGGTCAGGCCGGAGTCCAGATCGGAAATGCCTGCTGGGAGCTGTACTGCCTCGAGCACGGTATTCAACCCGACGGTCAGATGCCCTCTGACAAAAACGTAGGAGGCAGCGATGACTCCTTCAACACCTTTTTCTCGGAGACCGGCGCTGGCAAGCACGTACCCCGTGCCGTGTATGTCGATCTCGAACCAACAGTTGTCGATGAAGTCCGCACTGGAACCTACAGGTAACTAGCTTCACTTGATTGACGGAGCGATGATCCATCGCCATTATTTGTCGATTCCCATGCTGACAACTTCTGGAAGATTCCGGGCCGTTTTTGCGCTACAGTCGCGCCTCCCGATGTCGCGACTGCGCCAGCTCTCTGTGATGCATTCTGTCAGTCTCCACTCGGCGACTATTCAGACTTGACCTCCAGTTCTGAAAATTTATTTCTTCACCAGGCAACTCTTCCACCCCGAGCAATTGATCACCGGGAAGGAAGATGCCGCTAATAACTACGCTCGTGGGCACTACACTATCGGAAAGGAACTCATTGATCTCGTACTGGACCGTGTCCGTAAGCTGGCTGACCAATGTACCGGTCTCCAGGGCTTCTTGATCTTCCACTCGTTCGGAGGAGGAACCGGATCCGGATTCACTTCTCTGCTCATGGAGCGTCTCTCAGTTGACTACGGCAAGAAGTCGAAGCTCGAGTTCGCCGTTTACCCCGCTCCCCAGGTTTCCACCGCCGTGGTCGAGCCTTACAACTCGATCCTGACCACCCACACCACCCTTGAGCATTCGGACTGCGCCTTCATGGTCGATAACGAGGCCATCTACGACATCTGCCGCCGCAACCTTG